GCGGAAAGGACGGAGAATACCCAGCGTTTAAATCAGTGTAACCCGGCAGTTAGCTTAGCATTAGCTAGCCTCCTCCATGATGATGCAGCACTCAAACCGAAACCCCGAAACCGGCACCGGGACCGGCCCCGGAGCAGGACCGCGGCTCACTCACAGTGTGTGTCGGACCGGTCCACAAGCTGTGCCCGGCCCGCTACTGCTGCTCCCGGGGAAGGAGTAAAAGTGTCCCGGCTTCGGACCGTCCTCCCACAGACTCAACTTCACTCCACCAGACTCCATGTTAGATACTGCCGGAAGTGACGACAACGCCCCTTCTTTTAGGCGATTAGCCGGTTTGATGTCACAGGATGGTGTTTTACCGCCGCCTACTGACGGGAGGAAACAATACAGCGCGTCAGTAGTGAACCTGAACTAGTCTTAAAATATTCTAAAACCATAAATTTTAACTGGAATAATTTCTTAAAATTATAATAAAAGAAAAAACAATAAAAAAAAACAGCCGTTTACTGGTGTTTCCTGTGTTGCTGCCTCATTCTGATTGTGCTGTTGCTGATTTACCTTTAATTTGAAGATAATGAAAAAGAATATCTTTAAATAGCTTATCTCTGCTCTGATTTAATAACACACAGTGGCAGAGATAAATACTTCAACATCTGTCTTTTCCCAAGTCTGAAAAAATGTGAAGTAGATTCAGATTCTAAATGTGAAAAGGAAAATAATTGTGGACGCAGCCAACTTTTGAGATGAAATTCAGAATAATTTAGAAATACTAAACTGCAACAAATACAGGGTCAAGAGAATGCTATTTCTGAAGTGCAAAACCTTACTGAGTATAGGAGACGGTGACGAGCCAAGGTTCCAGAGAGGGAGGTTTGCCTGGTTGGTAAGCTGAAGGAGGTGAGATATCTGACCTTTTTTTTTAAAACTGTAAACATACAAACACGAACATACACGCCAAAAAGGAAGGAACAAGAGGTCATGGGATGATTATTAACAAAATCAAGTACAATAGTTACTTTTGCAGTAAAAGTTAGAAGCAAAATTGTATGATCCAACTTTACAATCTCACCTAGTCTGCTTCAAGAGCCAAACGATAACACCATTTCTCCCACATTTTCTTCCTGGGTCCTTTGGAGCCTTATAGGACATGTCATTTGCTCTAATGTACGTAACTGTTTCATAACGAAAATAAATAAAATGCCTGTTAAGGGGCATTTCTGAAGCCAGCACTTTGTAATGGCTTTTTTGTTGGCTGCTGACATAACTTTCAGAAGGTATTTATCTGTACTGTTCAAGTGATCTGAAACAAGTTTTACCATGTTGTGGAAAAAGAATGACCAGTAGGACAAGCGAGAAAATGCCCTGAGCGGTGCAGTAAAACAATGGGCTCAAACGCCTTTTCCTCTCCTTCAGTCAACCGCAAGCACCGACTCTGCATGGGCTCCACTGGTGGCTGAAGAGATGAGTGGGCGGTGTGGGGACGGACAACAGAGGTGAACTAGCAGGTGCCTTATGGACCTTGTAGTTCTTTTCAGCTTTCCTTTGCCTCAGGCAGTTGTCAATCGTGAAAGTAAAGGAGGTTAATTCCTCAAAAGAAGCAGGTACACTGGTGCCTGCAAAAATACAGCCCACTGTGATGGTACTCATAACCATTCAATGGTCACTGATCAATGATCATTGATCAATGATCATGGCAGTTTGCATAGAATAATCCTTTAATTGTCCCACAAGGGGAAATTTGGTTGTAACAGTAGCAAAAACACACATATACAAAAAGAACAGGACACAGGTGAGAAACACAACTTTTACATATTTACATCATGGACAATAGTTACCAAAGCAGAGTCCTGTACAGTTATTAAAACTAAAGTACAGATAAGTGGCAAACAGAGCAGGGTACTGAAAGATGTTTAAAGATTTAAGAATATTTAGAATAATTAGAAAAGTGCAGATTGTGTGATTGTACCTGTGCATTAAAAAGTAAACGTGTAACTTCCAAAAAGTTAGCGTATATAAACTGAGAAAAGTAATATGCAGCTATAACAGTAGTAGTTGTTCGGTTGATTAGTGCAGTTACAGCGCTGATGTAAACATCTATGTTTGTTGGGAGCAGTTCTGATTGTGCAGTCTGACAGCTGCAGGGAGGAAGGACCTGCAGAAACGCTCCTTCATGCATCGAGGATGCAGCAGTCTGTCACTGAAGCAGCTCTGCAGCAACACTTACATGCATGGGGTTGGAGACTCTGTCCATCTGAGATGTTATTTTGGCCAGAGTCCTTCTGTCTCCCACCACCTGCACTGGGTCCAGGGTGCATCCCAGAACAGAGCTGGCCTTCCTGATGAGTTTATCCAACCTCTTCCTCTCAGCTGCCGATAAACTGCTGCTCCAACATACCACACTGTAAAAAATGACAGATGCCACCACAGAGTCATAGAAGGTCTTTAAAAGCGCTCCCTGTACTCCAAATGACCTCAGCCACCTCAGCAGGTAGAGTCTGCTCTGACCCTTCCTGTAAAGAGCATCAGTGTTGTGGCTCCAGTCCAGTTTATTATTCAGGTGAACACCCAGGTACCTAGAAGAGTCCACTATCTCAATGTCCACTCCCTGGATGTTCACCGGTGTCAGTGTGGTGGGTCTGCGTCTCTGGAAGTCCACCACCGGTGGCCACACTAAGAAAAGCAACCACAAACTCAGCTACGCTTGGATTGCCACGACGGGTCAATCATTTCTTGGAAGAACTGCTCTCAGACACTGGATAAGCAAAAGTCTTTTTCACTTCACTGAAGAAAGCATCATATCGGGAGGAAGCAATAGGATGAAAAGTGAAAAATGCTTTGGCCCACAAAAGCGCTCTTCCCCTCAGTAATCTCCCACCTTAAGAAAGCTTATTGGCGTTATCAGGGAAAGAGTGTGACAAGCAGCTTAAGGCTGGGGAACATTGTGATAAGAATCCCCCACAACATCCCAACTCGTGGTTTAAGCAAAACACTGTTGCTAAGCATGCCCACGACATCGATGTCGATGGATGGACTGTTGGACAGAAGGACATTTAGAAGGATGGATGATGGATGGGTGAACAGTCGAATGGATAGATGGAAGGATGGACAGATGGATGATCGGTGGGTGGATGGATGAATGTTGCATGGATAAATGCTTTTATTCCAATTTATAGACCACACTGAAACACCTCGAACGTTCACAGGACTTTTTCCCTTGACATTTCTTCCCCACGGATGTTCTGATATCCATGATCTCACTTTGAAATCCATCAAAGCTCAAAGCGGATACCATAGTGAGCCGGCTCTGGACCTCAGCCCACGTGATGCTGCTGATTTATCTGTTTTTGTTTGTGTAATGAAACTGTCGTTTAAAGAAATCAAAGAGAGAGTTCAGGCACACACTGACAGGATGCTTTTATTCATTTCCATTTTTTCTCAGTACACAGAATCTCTCACTTTGTGCCCACTTGGTTTTACAGGTGCGGCCAGAGTGACACAGGCGGCTCATTCTGACTGCTTCTATGTCTTAAAGCTGATGAAATCTGATCACATGATAAAAAGTTGATGTAGAATTGTTGAGGTTTTTGTGCTCATGTTTAGTCCTGTGATGACTTCAAGGAATCATGAACATCTCAAACACGAGTCTGACTGAGAATAAGTCAATGAGCTCAACAAAAACCCTTTGTTCTCTGTGTCGTTTGTGGATCCTCCACTGGAGCTCCTGCTGAGACCTCCTTCCACATGGAGCTCTGAGGCTGATTCTGGTCACAGGATGGAGGACACACCTCAGAAGGGCTGATGGCTTTATATGGCCTAATGCTTTAACCTGCAGCAGAGCTGTGAATAAGGTTGCAGGTGTCTCTTTATATTAATAAAATAATGTGTGTGCATGTGTTAGTGCTGTTAGTCACCGAAGGGAAATTACTCCTCTGCATTTTCCCATTCACCCAGTGAAGCAGTGTGCAGGGACGGTACTTTGCTCAGGGGTTCCTCAGGGTAGTCGTTCAGTGGAGTCGAACCCCCGACCTTCCAACCATGGGGCAACCACTCTACCTACTGAACTAGCCTTGCCCTAAGAGAGAGAGAGCGCTGCAGAGAATCAACATCAACCATCTTTCAGTGGTGTCAGTCTGAGGCCTGACTCACAGTCTGAAATACCTTTTATCACCTCTGTCAGGGGCGGTACGTTACATTGAAAGGATGTTAAGTTCTAGTATTTGTAAGGACAAGAGAGGCATAATAATAATAATAATAATAATAATAATAATAATAATAATAATAATAATAATAATAATAATAATAATAATAATAATAATAATAAAAATAATAATAATAGATTGCATTTATATAGCGCTTTTCAAGGCACCCAAAGTGCTTTACAATGCCACTATTCATTCACTCTCACATTCACACACTGGTGGAGGCAGCTACAGTTGTAGCCACAGCTGCCCTGGGGCAGACTGACAGAAGCCAGGCTGCCATATCGCGCCATCGGCCCCTCTGGCCAACACCAGTATGGACAATAGGAAAGTGCAAGGACACCACCCATAAGCTTTAGTTATAATATTATATTTGGTTAACATGTTGTGATTGTTCAAATAAGTTACTATTGAGAGTGGAGAGATATTTTGCTGCTATTGTTAATAATCGTCATCATGACCATTGCATTAATAATATAATCTACAGCATCTGATAGTGCATTCAGATGTTTAAACATTTTGGTACCCAATTAGCCTTTATTACAGGTGCAGTTATAACCACTTTAAACTGTTGAGTTGAATCTATAATCTTAAATGCTTTTGAATGCTTGTTATAATCTTAAGTGTGTATGTGCTGATTCTGTTGATTTTGAGTGCACTCTGTACAGAGTCAGAGTGACAGGAAAACTGCAGGTTTCCAGAGCGTGTGTTTGCAGAACTGAAACCGAAACCAGAGTATAAGTGCAGGTTATTCTGAGGAGCTGGTTAGATGAGGCTATTTGAATTACTAGGTTATTCAAATTGTCTTTTATACTTTTATATTCATTTATTAAGCTCTTAGTAGAGGTTCTCGATTAAAACATTTATTCAACATAGTACATATAGTTTCAGTTAGGTTATTACACATAAGGATGAGCCTCTGTTCTGGTAAAAGGTCAGAAGTGCAACGGGTGAATTGAGAGAGCATGTAAGGTCAACACATACACAAACACACACATTAGTTAGACTCATTTATAGGTGAGAGGTTAGTCATGTTTGTCTCTGCAAAGAGGAACAGCGTCTTGCAGGATGTGGGGCTCGTGTTCCAGACGAGACAGAGATAATGTTCTTTTAAACTGTGTTAAAAGTCATTGTGGTTTTGATCTGACCTAGGTATGAAATGTATCGGTGACGTATGAAGGGGCGTCATTAATTCAAGCCCTGATGGTATAAATATCTGTTTATGCTTTGATTAAGTCGGAGATCAGTTCCTGTCTGCGAACAGGCACTGGTCTTCCCACGCGTGTATTCATTAAAATCAATTGTTTGACCAAGATCTTCTGGACCTGGTGGTTTGTACTCTCCTTCCTCAATATTAGAACCTTAATATTACTTTCTTTGGCTGTTGTAAAATAATGTGTGCCCCAATCTCCAATAAGACAGTTCCTCTAAGCGTAGTTACTCCTCTGTTACACCACAAGAGGGCGTGTTCCCTGAAATGAGCAGCTCTAGTGGGAGTAAATGAGCCTGGCCACTAACCATAATGCAGTGCACCTGATAAGAGCTGTGTGAGACTGTACGAATGTGTAACGATGTGCTATGTCTATACATTTGCATTTACAGTAAAGGGAAACTCACAAAGCTATAGTTTAAACTCGTCTTAATCCAAGTGTGCAACATATTATCATTTGTTTGTCTTCAGTTCTAGTCTAGTATATGTTCTTCTTCGTCTCCTTAGTTATGAGTCTTTTCCTGTCCTGTGCTCTCTCTTGTCCTCAGTGTTTTACTTTCAGTTGTACGTGTGTTTGTGTCTAATTGTGTGTGTTCTAATGATCTAGTTTGACCTGCTGTTTCCTGTTTTATTTTGAAGAGTCTGGTGTTTCCATGTTTAACGGGTTAAGTTTTACTTCCCCTGTGGCGTCATTATGTTTATTCCTGTCAGCAATTTCCCCTTCACCTGATCACTTCCTGTGTGTATTTAGCCTGTGCGTTTTCGTTCAGTCTGTCAGGTTGTCAGTTTTCATGATTCTGTTCAGGGTGTGTTCATGTTTCCTCGCGTGCACCTGTTCAGAATCATGTTCGTGTCACTTTGTCGTAGTCGTCACAGTTGAGCTTTTAGTTGTAGTTCTCTCCCCCTGCTTTGTTTTTGTCTTCAGCCTCATAAACGCTTCGCCTTTTGTGTAAACTCAGCTCCGTCTCCTGGCGTGTCTGCACCTGGGTGCTCCTTCTCAGTCCCACATTCAGAAGTTAGGGAGATTGTCACAGTCTGTGGAAGTGGACGATCTCCCTAACTGGGTCCGATGTCCTACAGTTGTTTGTGGCGGTAAGCACAGACCCAACCACATATTTCACACTTGATACACTTTATTTCCCGGTTGCTGCTACAACACCCCTGGGCTGCAGCTTTTAGCAACACGTACAGAACAACAACAACTCAGGACCCAGTTCATTCTTCGTATACATGATGGAGTGCGGTGCGTCGGTCTCCCCCGCAGACGTGCCACAAACCAACGCCTGCCACAGTGTTAATGTCAGCTAAACACTTTTTATCATGTGGATCCTGAGAAACAAACAGTACATGTTCTGTCATCTGAAATACTTTAAAAACGGATGATGTTTAAAAACCTTTGAATACCGCCGTCTTATTTCCTCCTTTCCTTTGTTTGGACTTTTAAAATCTTTCTTTACTGCTTGATACTGAGCGGAGTTCACCGAGAGGACCTGAGGGGGAGCCAGAGATCAGACAGACTGGGGCCCACGATATCTGATCAAAGGAGTCTTTTCTCCATTTTCTTCATCATCAGAGATGTGATTGAAATCTGCAGAAGGAGCAGACAGATGGTCAGACAGCAGGAAGAGACGAAAACAACAGAGACAGGAAACAAGCTCCTCCTCTGACCTCTGACGTGGAGCCTCAGACACTTCGTCCTCACGACTCGTTCTTCCTCTTTGATGGTGCACGTATACTCGCCACTGTCGAGCACCGTGGGCTGGTGCAGGACCAGACTGAGGTTTCTGTTCTTACGAGGATCTTCATCCTCCATCTTTGTGCGGCCACGGTACAACCAGGTCTGCTTCTCCAGACAGTTCGAGCCGCTTTGATAGACATGGACAATCATGGGCCACGGCTCATGACGGCTCCACTCCACAGTGGCTTTTTCTGGTGGAGGAATCCAGGTTTTCCAGGGCAGCACAGCATCGACCCCCTCTGACACCTTCACCTGAGGGACTGAAAGGACAGCCGATCAAAGCATCAGACCAGACATTTGCTCACAGACTGTATATAAAAAAATATACATATCCACCGCGATGTCACCCAGTTGTTTGTTGACTCCATGTTTTGTAATTTTGGAGCGAAAAATGAGCAGAAGTTTCATAAGTAAATACAAAGTGTTGATAACAGAACCCCGAGGAGCTCCGTGACTGTGAGTACAGCCTCTGGGACGTCCTCCACTTTCTCTTTTTCTGTGTCCTCTTAAAGCTGCAGGCTACCTGCAGTATGTTTATATGACGCTGACATCATGTCAAATATTCAAGTGTACACACAGATGTACAGGAGGTCCAAAGGGGAAAACTATCTAAATTGTTTCTGTATCAGGCTGTAAACATGTTTCAACATGGGAGTCTAAGGCAGACCTTCCCAAAGTGTGGGGCCCGCCCCCTAGGAGGGGCGCAGAGCTATGGCAGGGGGGGCGCGGGATGAAAGGGGGAGAAACAAACAAAACGCTTGGACATGGCGCCTACAGAAACACAAAGCAGGAGATGAAGCATCGCTGAATGTTTCCAAACCAACTTCATTCTAAGCCAAAGACTAGAAAATATGGTGAAGCAAATCTTCCCTTTGGTTTCACCTGCACAGGTGCTGAGGTAGGTCTCCCTGCAGGATTGGTTTTCCCTGCGTCGGGAGCAGCGCTGGGCTGTTTAAATCACAGACTAACAGGATCCCACAGCTGTTTATGTTTTTAAACCCATTTTGCACAGAGAGGCGTTTTTTGAAAAATGTATTGATAGCAATGTTGAATATTATTACACAGGAAAAAAACAACTACATGTAAAATAATCCCACCGTGACGCCTCTGCCTTTGTAAATGGAGGGACAGCGTGTAAAACCTGCAGACAGTCAGATTAACAGTATTTTGTCTCTATCTGCCATTCTGCAATTCATCTCATGTAAACAATAACGTGGCCACAGCGTGACGTGGATAAAGGCTCATACCTTTGACGCTGCGTGACCAACTCTGTATTCCTCGTCCACACGTAAACGCAAAAAAAGAACATCTTTCTTGTAAAACAAAGGGGGGCCCAGCAAAAAAAGTTTGGGAACCACTGGTCTAAGGGGACTGCAGGTACGAGCTTCAGCCCTGGAGCGAGGTTCTTACCTCTGACTTCCAGCCTCAGTCGTTTCTCATCCAGCACGACTTTGCCCCTGCAGAGGGTGCAGAGGTAGATCCCGCTGTCTCGTCTTCGCGGTCGCCTCAGGGTCAGACTGAGATCTCCTGATGTCAGCGGGTCCTCGACCATCTCTGTACGGTCCATGTATTTCGCACCTGGTTTGCTTTCGCTGTTTGAGTACTCATGAACTGTGATCAGTTTGAAGCCAAGCCTGGAGCGCCTCCACACCACCGTAGCACCGACTGGCAGGTTAGGTGTGGTTTTAAATTGCAGGTGAACAGACTCCCCCCCTTCATCCACCTCCGTGGTGGAGACTGAGAAGAACCAAAACCAAAACATTAAATATGGAAGCTGAACCTAAACCACAAGATACACAGAACCAAAACGTAAAACAAATGGAAAGCATACCCATCTTAAAATAATACCAGAAATATGCTACAAAACCTCCGCCAGCAACCAGACTGATGGCCATGACGCTCAGGAAAGCCGTGGCCCAGGTGGGAAGCGGTTCTGTTGGTCAGAGAAAGAGGCCCAAATGTGAGCATGTGAACCGCATCCCTCCCTCTCACCCGTGTCCCCTTCCACTCACTTTTGACGTGCTGCAGGGCTACTTTCTGCCTCAGCATGTCCGTGCCCGTGTTGATGGTGCAGACGTAGTGACCGTTGTCTCGCTCTGAGGGGTACTTCAGGGTCAGACTCAGGTCTCCCATTTTCAGCGAGTCCTCACGCATGCGCGTGCGTCCGCAGAAGAATTCGTCCTGTTTCTTCGGCAGCTCTGCGCTGCTGTTTGGGAACACGTGGACAATCATGGGGATGGGCTCGGAGCGGCTCCACTCCACGGTGGTGTCGGCAGGCAGCGGAGATGTCGTTTGGCAGGGCAGTTGGATGGACTCGGACCCTTCTGTCACCTCCACCTCCAACATGCCGACTGAGAGGGTAAAAGAAAAGGTGTGCATGACGGTCAGCGTTAGGTCAGTTTAGTGTGAGGGGATGTCGGCCTTTTTCAAACGACTTCATCACAAACTATCATTATGTCCATGAGTTTGTTCAACATTTAGTTTTGTTTTGTCAGTTCAGCACAGATTTAACCAGCTGCTCCATGTTGTTATTCTTGGACCCTAGAGCAGCTTTGCTTGAGAGCCAGTCCAAGATCATCCTTCTTTATCTGATCCCAGGACTCGGAGCAGCTGAGAAAAACATAGCATGTGGTTCCTGATCTGAAGTCATGCTACTCTTACTTGTTCTCGAGGACAGAATAATTAAAAATTTGTGTCATCCTCAAAAACTGAAAGCTGGTGGGCGGGGCTTCTGTGTGCTACAGTGACCATATGTTAAATGGACAGGTTGTCATTCACAGACATCTTTTCTGTGTTGAAGTGCTTTCTGTCTAACGTTCACACTGTGATGGATGCATGGGTTGATGCAACCAGGGAATTGAACCATCAACTTTTTAATTAGTCCTGTTGACCTGCTGCACTGAGTGAGGTAAAGCAGAGTGGTCTAAACTGTGGTGTGTTAAATCTTACATGCCTGAGCTACTTTGACTTCAAAGAGAGCAGAGTCCGGTGCTGACCTTTGACCTGGAGCTCTACGTCGGTCAGCTTTAGCACGTCTTTCTGCTTGCTGATGATGCAGTCGTAACTTCCGGTGTCAGACAGCTCGGGTTTGCTCAGAGTGAGGCTCAGGTCTTTGGGGTCCGCCTCGTTCGCCCTCATTGCCGTGCGCCCACGGTAACGCATGTTCTGACCATCCGGCTCGTCTCGGTCTTCGTGCCGCCTGTGGATGGCGCTGGGATCGAGGTCAGGGCGGGTCCATGTCACTGTGGTGTCCTCTAGTAAAAAACCTACCCGGCAGGGCAGAAGCACAGACTCCACTCCCTCGTACACTTCCACTTTTGCAGCCAAGGTATGCTGGGAAACTGGGACACACGCACAACAGTGTTTTTTAACTTTGCTGTCACTGTTTGGGAGAGAGACAGAATCTACCAAAATAAAACAGGAAGTGCACTTAAGACTTAAAACTCAGGAATGAAGTGAGAATAACCCCATTAGGGGGTAAATAAGCGAGAGCATAAAACTGAAAGTAGACTGAACAAAAATAGAGCTGAACAGTGCAGGTTAGGAGCTTTAGGACCACAAACCGTGCGTTGATTCCTGATAAAAGTCTGTCTGAGACCGCTGTGATCCAAAGCTGCTGCTGAGACAGCAAGAGTCAGAGATAACCCACAGCTGCCCACACTATCTTACCGAACACGAGGATCAAAAAGCTCCTCATCTTCCTCGAGTAAGTGTCGTTTTAAGGGCTGGCTTTGTCCAGAGTGGATCTATAATGGTGACAGGTGGCTCGTCGCTTCCCCAGCAAACAGAAAGAAAAACAAGCTCCAGAGAAGAGGCACTGGGAATGTGAAGATTCCAGTCGAGCAGCTTTCTGCAGCAGCAAAGAGGAGAAATCGGAGCGCCCCGTCCACAAAGTGCTTTTGTTGTTTGTGATGGATCAGTGAAGGACGCATAAATTACTGCAATGAAAAATTGTTGTAAAGAGACAGGGAGCTGAGACGGAGGAATGAAGAGGCTGAACTGGGCGGTGTTGCAGCTGCACGGGCTGAGACAAGCCTGGATGATGAGCTCAAAGGGAGGAAGAAAAATCTTCACTTGTTTATTCATATTTTACATTCATAAGATTCATTTTCAGCTATCAGATGCAATACATTCATTTCAGTTCAGCTCTGAGTTTTAATGACTGTTTGCATTTATAACCAATCAGCTTGTTCCATGATTCTTATGGAAAAATCTGCAAAGAAATCTTCCTGAGGGAGACAGTGCAGTGAAAATGTTCGAGTGGCACTAAATAAAGAAAGAAATGATCAAAGTACTGGAAATACTGAAGTACATCAAGTTGTTATTTAGAAATGTTCCACTTGTATATTATTGAAACTATCGTCTGATGCACAAAATGCACTACAGGGTAGAGACAACATAACTCTTACTGTGTTGTTGCTAGGCTTTCATCTCAGCACACTACCATACACACTCGTGCATTCATCACTAGGTCCATTCAGCGGGCTCAGCGCTCTGATGGCCTCGCTGTCCTGCCTTTCAGACACCTGCACCTGATCCCAGAGGGCACGAGGTCACGCAGGGGCAACGAGACACCAAGCGCTGACCATGTCCTCCAGAGATAGCCGAAGATCTTTTGTGCTGTGTTAATGACCCTCTGCAGGTTTTTAGTGTCTGACACTGAGCAACTGGCATATCAGGCCACGATGCAGAAGGTGAGCACGTTCTCTAAGATCCCCCAGGAGTCTCAAGGAGGACGCTCGCCGAACACAGTTAGGGGAATGTGTCTCCCTATGACGTCAGTTACGGTCTCCTCAGTTTTGATGGTGTTGAGCAGAAGGTTGTAGTCAGCACGACATCTCGACAGTGTTTAACCTCTTCCCCGTACGCAATCTCCTCCACTGATCAGGCCAACGGCCGTTCTGTCGTCACCACGTTTACTGGAGGGGAAGGGAGGTGTGCGATCATGAGTGTGCAGGGCGTAGACACGAAGACTTAGCCTCGGGTCAGGGTGGAGGAGCAGGCGGTACCAATGTTAACCACCTGGACAGGAAGTCCCTGATCCTGGAGGGCAGGGTTACAGTGTATATAACTACAGCATTTATATATTCTGCTCATTTATAAAGCAACTCCAAAATTCTCAGAATGATTCATTAATGATAAGCCACCAAAGTATCCTGTAAATATTTGAAGCCTTTCATTCTGAGCCCCTGCCAGCAGTCCTAACCAAAGCACTGGTGCAACAGACTGACACATGCTCCTCCTTCCCTGGGATCTTTTAATGTTCTCATGAAACAGTAATACCTGAACCACAGTGACACACATGCAGCAGGTAGCGACCTGCATGCTGCAGTTTCCACACCTGCATGTCTACTTGTACAGTCATAGTTGCTGTGGTAACGGGGCTGGCCTCTTGTTGCACCAACAAATCAAACCCGCCACACCTCTGTTGTCCTGTTGGCTAAAAGTACAGCGAGAGACGGGCGAGGGAGGGGCTGAGGTATCAGAGTTCACTCATAAACTCACTAAAGGCAGGTGTGATGTCATCAGGTGAGCCTTCAGACATACACTGACTCTCAGGTGATCTCGGCTATTTACCTTGAACCCGTCTCACCTGTCTGACTTCACCTGGCCGTCGTCTTCCTGAGGACTCGCTGTAAGTCTTTTCTGACTCTCAAACTTTTCTTTATCACAGGAAGTCTTTTTCTGCTTGGACTTTTATTTTGTAATGTGTTCTTTGTCTTTCCTTTGCACTGTTTTTGTTAGATAACAGTTGTGTCAATAAAGATTATTGACCTGAGCCCAGAGTGTTTTCTCAGATCTTAATGCAGCAACGTTTCAGCTGATTTACAATGTGCTGACGGTTATAATGTTACAGAATAATGTTTTCATGAATTCCATGCTAAACAGCAGAAACGTTAGCTCGTTTAGTCTTGATCTGGCAGCAGGCTCTGGACTAACGCGGTCTCACTGATCCTCAGCAGCAGTAACAACATGGAGTCACGAGAGGAGGAGCCTGATGAGGAAACACAGAGGTCAGAGTTCATTTCAGCCTTTTGATTTCCTTCAGTTTGAAATGTAATCAAACAAAATCATTTAACAAACAGATACGTCCAGCTGTAGCGTCGTTATGGCCAGGGCTCCTGCTCCTCTGCAGCCAATCAGAAGAACAAGGGCTTTTAGCGAGGGGAGGGGCCCTAAAGAGACGATAGAGCTAGCTTCAGTCACAGTCTGAGTCACCTTTAAAAACAACAGCTGGGATGTACATATAAAATAATCAAACACATAAGAACAATTTAAGAAAATAAGAAAAGCCTAGTGAGAAATCAGACAATCGAAGCAGTCAGAGGTCATCCTGATGTAAAACGCAGAGAGTAACAGTGTGTTTCAGACAGGTTTGAAACATGTGTGATGTCAGGGAGGTGGAGATGTGAATATGAGGTGCCGTAAGGGACATTATTACTGAAACGCTCTCACACACACTACTGAAACGCTCTCACACACACTACTGAAACGCTCTCACACACACTACTGAAATTTTAGCTCTCACACACAC